AAAAAAGGTTTTAAACTAAAACACAAAAAGCAACCAAAAAAAAAAACATAACAAAAAACCAACAAAAAGTGCCTTAAAATTAAAAAATAAAACAGTCAACCCCCACCCAAAAAAAGCAAAAAACAACAAAAAAACAACAACCCATAACAATTCAAAACAAACAACCCCAAACCCTGGATTCGCAAAAAAAACCAAAAAAAAAACAACACTCACCGAGGAGGTGAAGGCTACTGCAGCATCCACGCACCGCGCATGCGCCACGCACTGGTCCTCTGTGACGTCACACGGTTCGTTCGGCCTGACGATGACCCTGCACTCTCCCCTCCAGTTGAAGTAGCCGTCGCCACACTGGCAAAACGCACTGTCGTCACAATAGGCGTGCTCCACGCACGTGCCCTGTCTCACACAGGGCTTGCCCGCCTCTACCAGCTTCTCGCACACGCTTTTCCCGTCGGAGGAGGAGTAGGATGATGATGATGAGGATGATGATGATGATGATGAGGATGATGAGGAGGAGGAGGAGGAGGAGGAGAAGGAGGAGGATGAAGATGAAAAAAATGATGATGATGATAATGATGATGATGAGGAGGAGAAGGAGGAGGAAGGGGAGGAGACAAAGGACGACGACGTATCATTGACGTAATAACCATCATCACACTCGCAAAGCCCGCTGGCGGACGAGCACTCCGCGTTAGCCACGCACTGGCCGAAGACGCGGCACCTTTTCTTGGCGCCAATCCTCTCCCTGCACTTGCCGTCCTCCACGAAGAACCCGTCCCGGCACACGCAGTTCTTCACGTACTTAGACACAAACTCGCAGGAGGAGTCGAACGTACACTGGCCCTCTCTCACGCACTCGGTTCCGTGGTCCAACAGCTCGAAGCAGCCCCCGCTCTCGTTGAAGAAGCCCACGTCACAGACACACGTAGGCGTCGTCGTCGTCGTCGTTGCGGTGACGTCACACTCGGCGTGTCGGATGCACTGGTTCAGCCCTGTGCACGCTTCCCCTGCTCTCAGCCGCGGCTCGCACGCGCCGTTGTTGTTGTAGCGCTCACTCCCGCACGCGCAAACCTTCTCCGTGAGATCGCACTCCGCGAAGCGAACACACTCACCCCGATTCCGACACGCGGAACCGGCATCGATTCTCCTCTCGCACCGCTCTCCGCTTCGGAAATAATCGGATTCGCAGGCGCACATGTACGAGTCGACGTCACACTCGGCGTTGGCGATACACTGTCCGAAGTTGTCGCAGAACTTCCCGGCCCTCACCCTCTCCCTGCACACCCCCTGGTCGTTGAAGTACTCGGGCAGGCACGTGCACCGCGCAGTGCTGACGTCACACTTCGAGTGACCAGCGCACTGACCAGGGGCCGAGCACAGTCCGCCGGCCGGGATCTTCTCCACACATGAGCCGCCGGCGTCGAAGTACTCGCCCAGACATCGGCACACCTGACGACAGGACATGGCTGGATTACAATGAGGCAACAGTATGCATCAGAAAAGAAACAACAAAACAACAACAACAACAACAACAACAACAACAACAACAGCTTTTAAAAAGCTTTAGTAGAGGTTTTACGGCGTTTGCAACTGCGTTAGGTCATATGAGCAAACCAGAAGATTAGAGGTGTTACAAGAGCGTAACAAACATACAAAAGAAGAAGGGGAGAAGGACGTCTATGTTTGATAGGAAAGAAGGAGCAAACCACACCAGAGCATCTGCCAACAACCCACATACAACAGCAACAACAACAACGACAACGACAACAACAACAATGACAACAACAACAACAACGACAACAATGACAACAACAACAAAAACGTAAAGAAACAACC